TGGCTGAAGTACGATTCTTTCGTACCTCAGCCAAACCAAGGGATCCAAGCCATTGTTCATAGGGATCCTTAGGGGTGTAGGGGGGAGGGGTGTAGGGGACTATATTTCCTTAAATAGGCCCTATTAGTCCTTATTATGGGCCTTAAGGAAGGGGAAAAGGAGGGACCCTTAGTGGGAACCCCTACCCTATAATGGGCTATAGAAAGGATATATAATAGCTATATTAAGCGTATATTACCTAGGGGTCCTTATTAAGGGTCCTCCTTTTACCCTTGAACAACCCAATAAGACTGGTTTAAGGGTTCAGGTTTAGGGTTTAGGGGTATCGGGGTGTTGACGCACTTTTTGAGGGTTTTCATACGAAGGTCTTGTTAGCACTTAAACAAGGCTTTTGCGATGGATTGCAGAATGACTGAAACAGGAACGCTGAGGAACGGTCGTGGTAATTAATTATACTTAGGCTTCTGCATTAACACTTTTCCCGATGCCCTGCCCAGCAACTCTCGCAGAACTTGAAATGCAAGGCTTCGCATCTGAAGGGTTAGAGTGTAGTCTAGGTCCAGATACCCAGAGGCTCCATGGTAGTTCCTTTTTGGGATTACCTTATAGGATTCTTTGTATGAACCCCAAAAAGGAACTACTATGGGGCCTTAGGATAATGTACACCCTTTGAACCCAAACCTTCAAGGGGCCGTCAAGTGTGCATCTCTTTGCGTCTTTCTGCACGAACTGAAGAGCCACACCTAGACAAGTTTGCGGGCCAAATGAGGCCTGGAAGCCTGGGCCGAAAAGGCTTAGACGCTACCCTAAGGCTTCATAGTAGTTCCATTTTGGGGTTCATATATAGAATCCTACAAGGTAATCCCGAAAAGGAACTACTATGGAGCCTTAGGGTATGAATCCTCTATACTCCGGGTTTTTTGGCAGCGCAATCACTCTGAGCCAAAAGCCCGTGCATGTCCACACCCCACTCTGTCGGCGGGTTTAGGGTTTTAGGGTTTTAGGGTTTAGGGATTACTGACTCCTGTATGGCAATGAACCTTCAACTCTTACAGGTTGCGCCAGTATATACTGTGGCCTTGAAGTAGTCACCATACATGGGTACCTTAAGCCCGATATGTATGTACTCTACAGGATACCCTCTGAAGGACCCTTAAAGGATACCTGTTCTGGGTACAGGGTTTTTCGGGGTGCTAAAAGCGCAGGGGAGAAGCTTCTGCATGAGCACATCGTCGATGTCCATGGCAATGGCTGTCTGCCAACAAAAGTATGGTTTTGGGGTTTACCTTAATCCTGAAGAACCTACCTTTTTAGGTTCCTTATTATAATTTCTTTATATACATACAATGTAGGTTCTTCGGGGCTGAGCTAGGGTCTAGGGGCGAACGAAATGAAGATCATGTAGTTTCGGATTCAAGGCTCAGATTGTTCGGGGCTTAGGGATCAAAGTCTTCAGGCTTTCGGGCTTCGGCGCGTCTAAGGTTTACAGGTTTCAGACCTGACCCTGGTTTGGTTTAGGGTTTAGGGCTTAAGCTCGCAGAGAGTGAGCATTGGTGCAGGACGTGTTGCACTCAGGCATTACCGAGGTTGAATCTTGCTAACCACCCACATTCTCCAAAGACCCTGAACCCTAAACACGGAAGCCTAAACCCTAAACCCCAAACCCCCTAAACCCTAAACACAGAACCCTAAACCCTAAACACGGAACCCTAAACACGGAACCCTAAACCCGGAGCCCTCGACTCCGAATGCCAGACCCTATACCTGACCCGAAGCAATCGTCGACCTCCTGAAGTAGAATGTCGGGCTACCCTAAGGCTCCAAAGTAGTTCCTTTTTGGGGTTCATATATAGAATCCTATAAAGTAATCCCCAAAAGGAACCACTATGGAGCCTCTGGCTAGAGATGTAAGCTTTAGCCAAGCCGTGGCAAGCTTAGGGTTTAGGGTTCTGGTCTGAGTTTAGGGTTAAAGTCACAGGGCCTAGAATTGAATCCGCAACAAGCAAAAGATCAAGACCCGATTCTGGCGAGTAAACTCACATCAAAGCTGTTCCAATCTGAAGCCCTGTAGCCTGCACCTCTTGGCCTTACGATCACAAAAACCAAACCATTACATCCTAAATCTGAGCTCCCAGCATCCTAAGCCCAAACCCTGAATGCCAATTCCGCCACAAACCCGTCGCCCCCGAACCCTACACTCTACACAATTCCTGAGCCAGAAACTCAACACAAATGGGAGCATCAATACCCACACTCTCTACGCAAAAAAGTACATCCCAGGCGTCACCCCTATGATGCACTGTGTAAACTCTGCAACGACCCCAGATGCAGAACTTCATGAAGAATTTCGCGACACCAAATACCTAAATATCACCATCAAATACCTAATGCCCGAGTCTACATTGATTACGCAGAAACCATACACCCCCTCTTCGCTCCAGCCCCCAAAGCCCAAACGTCAAACCCCACAAAACCTTGCCTAGAGGCTCATACCCCACCCTTTCTTTAGGATACGTTTAGGATCTGTTATCTTAAAAAGTAGGCACCCCAAAAAAAAGGGGTAGGGTATGAGCCTCTAAGACTCTAGGTGTGCTAAAAGCCTCACCAAATCTCAAGCCTTCAGCGGCGTCGTCCGCGAGAGGTCGGCGGAGTGCCGGGCGGCCGAGGTAGCCTTGGACTTTTCTTGCCGATCTGGGACTTGCTTTGAAAACAAGAAGGCAACTTTGTGCTTTGAGATATGTGGGTTTAGGGATTCCACCACGAAGGCTTTGGCTGAAGACAAGTTCAGGGCCAGCGTCAGCAAGTTTCAATGTCCGTATGATCATGTGGATATACGCTGCTCTCAATGTTACCAAGAACAAAGGACATGGTTCCTTAATGGAGATTTGCTTTGGGCTACAATACACATCCTGTTAGTTCTCTTCAGAATTGTGCCCTCATGTCCTTACCCTCCGTAGCCGAGGTCGATCAGGGTAGGGGCCTCCGACAAACGGTTTTGAATTCTTTCACTTGTTGAGCTTGCACAGGATGTTCGGGAGCGTGTAGGTAAGCCGTTTCACAAACGTCTGTCTTTGAAGCCGATCCTCGGTGGAAACGGCGGAAACCAACTTCGGCTCATGAGCCTCCGCTTATATTACTTATCATCGAGACGTATGAAAAGCACGCGCTGGCTGCAGGTCAGGTGTCTCCAAAGCCTGTTTATTGCACCGTGAAAGGCTTTCTGGCACACTCATGACTCGCACAACTCGCATCCTGCGGCACTGGTTACTTGTGGCAGCGTGACGTTGCTCGTGTTCTAGCACCAAACTGCTGCAATCGCCAATGTCTTCGCGAATGCCTCAAGTGCTGGCATGCTTCCGAGAAAAACACCGGAATAGTCTCAGCATCGGCGCGGCCAGACACTACAGCCGGCCCGAAACCGTCAAGTGTATGCACTCCTGAAGCGACAGAGAACAACATAATCAGCTCCGGCAAAGATTCTGACCTAAAAGACCCCGGATAGGAAAGAACAACCACTCAGACATTTGTCTGCTTAGTTGAGAAGCTGTGCAGGGAATCGGTATACGACTTGATTGGATACAGAAGGTTTGCCTTCGGAAGCTGTCAGACTGTCGCCAACCTTCATGCGCGACCTTCATGGGTTGAAGTTCTGTGCGTCTACAGGCGCACGGACGCCATATCGTAGTGCTCGAGTGCAGTAAATTGCAGCATCACAGTCGTGGCTGACTAGCCCAAGTACCAGTTGCGCAGTACAAGTCCGAGTAGTGGCAGGAGTAGTAGTAGCATAGTAGTAGTAGTAGTAGTAGTAGTAGTAGTAGTAGTAGTAGTAGTAGTAGTAGTAGTAGTAGTAGTAGTAGTACTAGAAGTAGTCGTCGTCGTCGTAGTGACAGTGGCAGTGGCAGTGGCAGTGGCAGTGGCAGTGGTAGTGGCAGTGGCAGTGGTAGTGGTAGTGGTAGTGGTAGTGGTAGTGGTAGTGGTGGTAGTGGTAGTGGTAGTAGCAGTAGTAGTAGTAGTAATAGTAGTAGAATGTAGTAGTAGTAGTAGTAGTAGTAGTAGTAGTAGTAGTAGTAGTAGTAGTAGTAGTAGTAGTAGTAACAGTAGTCGTGACAATAGTAACCGTAGTAGTACAAGTAGCAGTAACAGCAGTAGTAGCAGTAGCAGTAGCAGTAGCAGTACTAGCAGCAGTCGGAGTAGCAGTAGCAGGTCTGTAGCAGTAGGAGCAACAGTAGTTGTCGTCGTCGTAGTGGTAGTAGACATGTAGCCGCCGTGATAGTCATACCATTAACAGTAGTTATCGTCGTCGTAGAAGTAGAGCTGCTGCTACTACGGCTGCTCCTGGTGCAGCGGCGACTACTGCTGCTGGCTACTGCTACTGCTACGGCTACGGCTACTGCTACCGCTCCTGCTGCTGCTGCTAGCAGTAGAAACGAATACTGCCGAATACTATCGACAGCAGTCGTCGGCTGAGCCGCAGAAGAGGAAGAGGAGGAGGACGTCCGAAGCCCTATAAACGCAAACCTTAAGAGTACAGGGGCCTGTTGTAAGCACCCCATTGCAAACTGAGATCCTTATGGTACCGCTTAAAGGTGCTATATTCGGGTCCCCCATTTTCGGAAACTCCCATATGGACCCTTAAACCCTAAACCCTTCTAGAACCCTTATAGATCCCTTATGGGAACCCTTATGGTATCTGTGTTGAACAATAAGCTTCATGACCCCCTTTCCTGGCACTCAGCGTCATCCCAAGTAACACGAGCAAAAGCCGAATGTTTCAGGGTTCTGCTTTGCACTGATGATGCAGGGGTCCTAGCCTGCTATTTCGCTGGCTTTGTGGATGAAGTTCGAAATATGAGCAATGGAGGCGATCTGCATTTACGGGTATACCTTAAGTCATTTCGGTACCTGGTGATCCGGCTAATGAATCAGATGAGCGGTTCAACAAACCACCGAACCACAAGCCCCAAATCAGGGTCTGTGGGTCGGGGACTATGAGCAAGAAATCACACCCCCAGAAGACCGAAGAGAAATCCCACCTCAAATCCTGAACGACAGCGCAACAACCGCCATGATAGGTCCGTAACTTACCTGGACTTACCTCTTTCCGGACATACGACAACCCCCCTAGAACACTTCTCGGCTGTGAGTCTGCTTCGCGTACCAGCTTGATGGTGGTCGGGTAGGCGAAGTACCAGTCCGCGAAATTACCTGAACTGAAACTACAGCTTTGCACTCCTGGACTTGTCTAAGAAATGGTAGAACTTCTAGGCTGAGGTGATGTCGGCACAGGAAAAGCCATGGAAAAGCCCTGTGTCCGAAGCATCGAGCCGTAGCCTATACCCTGAACGTGTTTTTGTTTAGGGTTTAGGGTTTAGGGTTTAGGGTTTAGGGTTTAGGGACCCAAAAACCAAACTACCACTCGGCCCAGAGGCACCCTCTTTCTTCGTTGGGATCCTCAACCCTTTCCACAGACTCAAAACCCCCGGCTACGTGGCCACTGACCTCGCCCCAAACGAAAAATCCAACCCCGACTGGCTCCACTTGTCGTCTTATTGGGGGTGGCAGTGAGGCCGACGACGCGAAGCGTTTACAATAAACCCAGACAGAACTGCACTCCCTAAATAAACCTTGGATTACCTAAGTGTGAAGCCGTATTTTTAGCTCCAACACATACAGCCCGACAACAAAACAAGCAAGAAACCAACACAACTCACAAAGGTGCTCGCACGCTGCTCGATGGGCGCGAAACAGGCAGCGAGCTCCGCTGCCAGCTTGGTCGATGCTGCCTTCTCTTCTTATGGGCTGCATAAGATTCTCTTCAGTGACCGTTTTTTCAGAGGGTTGTATTTGGTCTCCGCAGTCCATAGTCTTGAGCTTTTAGGGTTTCATTAGGTTCTATATAGGCTTTACGCTTGCGTTCCAACATTTGCCGACCAGCCCGCCTTGCGCAGCGATTTCTCTGCAGCTGCCAGAGCCTACCAGGAGGCATATGGTCTCGAGCTAGAGTCCAATCGTGAGCCGAGAGCCAAATCATCAAAAGGTCACCAGAACTCACACCAATCAGTGTGATGAAGGCGACGATGGGGGGTTGATTTTTTGGAACTCATTGTGGCTATAACTACAATATTCCTCTACCACTGCAAGCAGCAATAGCACGATGTAAAGCCCCATGAACCTTCGACTGCGCAGATGCCAGGATACAGCCACACCGCCGCGCAGCGGGGATTCATACCCTTAACCCAAAAACACAATGACGTAAACATAACCCAACAACAACAACAACAACAACATAATATGGGGGCCTCAAGAGGTAGAGTAGGGTTTGAGGGGCCTATTCTACTATAATTCTAAGGAGGAGCCCCAAAATGGTATAGGTAATTATTTAGGCCGCTAAAGTACAGAACGTCGTCACGCCTTAGGTGGAGTTTATCTTTTCAAGCCTCGGACTTCCAAGGAGCTCCTCGCAGAAGGGACATCGCGAAACCCCTGTGCCCCGAAAGCTCTTGAAAACTGATTCTCCCAAGGAAATCAGCCGAAAGCAAAATCACCAGTATATCTGGCAGAAGTGATCATACCGACTAAAACATCGCAAGCCGACACTTGCCCTCGAACAAACAGCTTGAAGCACAGCCCTTCCCCACCCCCGGCTCCGCTGGTTGGAGGCCCAAGCGACTTAGTAAGTAGGTTATAAATAGGGTTATAAGTTCCTAAATGGAGTTATATACCCAAATTATAACCCTTCTTATAACCTACTTGCTAAGTGCCCTGGAGTTAAGTTAAAGGTTTTTCGGGCGTTCCGGATGAGGACCCCAAGCACCCTCCTCCTGCCCCTACCCCTTTCCCCGTACTGGCCAACCCCCTCCCCTACCACCCACCACGAGAAACGCGAATCTCCAAATCCTCCCTGAACCCTGCATGGCTATTTTGGCACTCAAAACTTGAACAAGCCTGGCAAGGTTACTGCTGCGACGACGAGGACAAGACGGACAGCACTGTTCACCATCCCTTCAAAATCTCGCGAACCTATCCCGACAATGCACCATCATTGATCCGGCTCCGGAAGCACAACCTTGGTGTTGGCACTCTCGCACATGCGGAGGTGCAATCGGCGCAGAAGCCTGCCGAGCTTTGCGAAGCTCCGGCTGTATCTGGAGCTGCCAAGGGCCGATCACCAGCGCTGGCGCCTGGGATGGTGCCTTGGGCGGCGCGTTGGGCGGCGAGCGCAGGGTTCGCGTGGGCACCTGTGCGCCGACAGGACAGTGTTGCCCGGAACCTCCTGCCACCCGCGAGAGGCGCTGGCAGGTTGCGTCGCTCCAGCTCCGCTGCCCAGTGCTTTCCGTCAGCGTGCCCAGTCACAGCTGAGGCACGTGTCGATCACGGTGTCAAATGAACAAGCCTCAACAGCCTCCGTGGCAAACGGCGCGCCAGACTTGGATCAATATGGCTACGGCTATTTTGGTGGAGGGCCGAGGGTATTCAGAGTGTCGGGTTCAGTTGCGTTTAGGAGTTCAGGTTTGAAGGCGAAAAACCTACTTTCTTGAAGACTTACTCAGTAAAGCAAATGGGGAACCCTGACAATCGTAGGCCTTAATTAAGCCCAGAGCAGTGCCAGAGCGCTGAAGTGTGGGTGTTAAGTTAGCGGAAGGCATCAAAAAAGGGCGATGTACCAAAGATCACCCGTGGTCTTGTACGGTATCGGATGAAGTTCCCCAACCGAGGCTAACTTAAAAAGGTCTATGTCTATAACAAACGATACACTTGCTTCAGTATGGCACCGTAGATGAAGTTTCCCTAGCAAGAACTCTATACCCAGAGGCTCCATACTAATTAGCTCTTTTTTTGGATTACCTCATAGGATTCTACAGGAACCACTATGGAGCCTCAGGGCACAACCCAAAGGGTCCTCTGTACTGTTATGGGGACTACTTCCCCAAATCATGATAGTAATTCCTAATATAGAAACCTTACATTCTACCATAAAGATACTTTGGACCTTATTATATATTATAGATCCCTTATAGGAACCCTTATGGACCTTTGGACCCTTTGGGCAACTACATGCAGCTCTCACGAAAAACCATGAGACCCTCACCTCGCCGCGCTGCGAAGTCGCCGAGGCGAGCTGCCCTGCACCGTTTGAGGGGGGGGGGGGGGGGGGGGGGACGTTTTCTTTCCTGAGGGGTTCCTTTAGGGGTGCCTTTAAAGGGATCCTTTAGGGGTTCCTGCTTTGAAGTTGCAGGAATCTACTTAGAGGCTCCATAGTAGTTCCTAGTTGGGGTTCATATATAGGATAGGATCCTATAAGGTACTCCCAAAAAGGAACTACTATGGGGCCTATGGGTAGTGTATAGAGTTTAGTAAGGTGCGGGGCTATTGGCTGCGGGTTGCCCAAGACGGTGTGCTGACTTCGCCCCTCTACACCCCAAGGCAAAACCCAAGCAGCCCTGCTTAACATATATTCGGGCCTTAATAATTAGAATACCCAAAGGGTCCTATGTACTGTTATGGGGAATACCTCCCTAAGTCAGAATAGTACTTCCTAATATGGAAACCCTACATTCTACTATATCGGTACATAGGACCCTTTGGGATAGGGCTTTGGGGCCCATGCTACTACAATCAGTATATTGCGGGACCCCCCCAAAAAATCGTATATGGGTAATTATTATAAGGCCCCTAAAATTGCGCTGACACAGGGCATCGGAGTGCAAGATATCGCCGAAGCCTTTGTCCACCACCACCGTGCTTTGCCGGCCATCGGCAGCCGTGAAACTGACGACCTGAACTGGGAGTTTCCGAAAATATGGGTAATCAGGATCCTACTATTTGGGGTACTGTATTAGGGTCCCCTATTTTCGGAAACTCCCAGCTGAATAGAACAAGGTTTGGGACGTACGATGCTGTAGTCTGTAGCAACCAACCACTGAGGCTTCATGCGAGACACTGGTCTTTCAGCAAGAAACTAAGAAGCCCCAATATAGGACTCTGATTAAGAAACCTTGGATCTTTATTAGGTTTCCTTACATGAGTCCTAACATATCGGGGTTGCAGGGCCAGGGTATCTCAATCAGGTTCCTACATTACATCTTTCGGAGGTCAGGGGCCGATCCAGTGGTTCATGGGTGGCTTTACTTTGAGCGCAACTAACGGTTGATGGCTTTTGAGAATGTTTAGGCTTTACCCAGAGGCTCCATAGTAGTTCCTTTTTGGGATTACCTTATAGGATTCTATATATGAACCCCCGAAAAGGGACTACTGTGGAGCCTTAGGGTAGTGTTTAAAATGCATATATCGTAAACTTGCACCGTACACTAATCGGGAGTTTCCGACAACAGGGGACCCTAATATAGTACCCTAAGTAGTAGGATCCTTATTATGAGGACCCCCCAAAAAAGGTACCCCCCATTTTCGGAAACTCCCAAACCATCTTTTCCGAATCTTACGAGACCCTGGATAAAAGCTTGGTGCACCCGAAAAAATTACGAGAGGAATGCAGGACAAAACAATGAACTTTTGCCCTAAGGATCCTAGTCTACCTCATAATCATATACTATCCCAAATACCTCATAATCATATACTATCCCAGATACTAGGATACAAGACTACTTTCCTAAACCCAAGTACCTGATTTCTAGGTCTTGTCAAACCCTTCAGTCCCCTATATCGCCCTATCAAATGGCCCCTTTCAGAACGGTTTAGGGTTTACGGTCTAGGGGTTTAGGGTTTAGGAGTTAGGTTCAACCCCTAGTTACTAGTTATCCCAAGCACCCGAATTCTTAGGTCCTTTTGGCCCCTAGGGTTGCCATTGGACAGACAACTGTGGGGGAGATGGGATGCTCCTTGCGTCGTAATGTCACGGACCCTAATCCTAGAATTTAGTCACGTCTTGTTATCCCAAGGCTCAACATGGTCCAAAAGCCTCCCCTAAACCCTAAACCCCGCCAGGAACCGAGGCGCCGACTAAACCCCTACAGTAGAAGCCTAAAAGTTGGAAACCCAATAGCCTCAATCCTTAAGAGTGAGGAATAGGGAATCCCAGCACTGTTTGGCCTTCATCCGGTTTCCAACTTTATGGAGTTCACTGTAAACCCTCAACCCGGTCTGTGGGCCCAAGAGCCTCAGTCCCCAGAGACGTCGGCTTAGAGGCTACGAGACGACATGTCATCTAGGTGGGGCTTTTAAAGCCTTTGAAAAATAGTAGTAAATAAGATCCTCTTAAGCCCAATAGGGGAAAATATAAAATGTCCCAAAGCCCTACCTAGTCATTATCATAAAAAAGATCAAAACGGTATTGACAGTAGATACTACTACTGTGATCTGTAATAGCAAGAATCACGGTAGAAATATGTAGAGGGGTTTTCATTGCCACCTCCCGGCAGTTCAGACCTCAGGACGTTCGTGCTGGGGCACAGTGTCTAAAGTCAACTGCTCGAGCTGAGGGGAGATCCTAATCAGAACAAGGATACCAGTTCATATTTTGGTCATTACTATTGTTCATGACAACAACAATAATTACAACAATAACCACAGCAGTTCTAATACTAATACGAGTCACAATCATGACAATAAGTACAATGCTAGTAACAAGAAACATACTACCTGGTAAGAGTAACAGATGTAATAACAATGGCAATCATAATAGTGTTAACAACATAAATAGAAGCATTAACAGTAAGAATAACAACAATTGGAACAACAATAATAGTCACAGTTTTGAGCTTTGATTATTAAGTTATTTCTATTAACAAAAAAGTACGACGCAGAATAACACACAAAAATATAATATTTGTAGTAGAAATACAAAGTCAAAATACATAGTATTGAAAATACGTTGCTGATAATCCATTAATGAGATGACAGTACGGCGAAGACTAATAACCACAGCAAAATGCAACATTCAAGGTTAATGGTAACCATAATAGTTGATAGTAAAACAATACAGTAAGGACAATCATAAAATTATTGACGAGATCATTGCTCGTCTCACATATTCCTAACCTCAAGCCAAGGCTCCACCTCGCCCCCTCCCTCGAGCTGCCGCTCGACGCGCGCCAGGCGTGCGGAGGAGTTCCCTCGGTGAACCTCGAGCTATCCGAGCACTCGACGACAAGGTCAGTACTTGGAGGCCCTTTTGACTTAGTAAGTAGGGTTAGTGAGGTGGGTTATGGGGATTATAATGGGGTTTCTAGGGGATACTAAGTAGACTTACTAAGTCAAAAGGGCCTCCAAGTAGAGGTACCAGCCTGAAAACTTGTCAATACTTTTCCTCAGGGCTCGCCTTGTGATAACACCTAGACTGTATGAATGCAGAACCCAAGCACCCTAAACTCTAAAATGTACAAACGCCATTGCGACTTCCCGAAAAACAAAACCAAGAGCCCAACATAACCCCAAACCCAAAACCCTAAATCGAAACTCTGACCCTAATCCCCTAAACCCCTGAAGCCCTAAACCACTAGCTAAAGCCCCAAGAAGGGAAGTTGCCTTTAGTACCCTTATAGATCCTTGATAAGAGCCCTTATAGTTCCTTTAAAAGAAGCCAAAAGTACCCTTAAGAATCCCTTATAAGAGCCCTTGTAGTTCCTTGAAAAGAAGCCTAGAGAACCCTTATAGATCCCTTACAAGAGCCCTTATAAGTTCCTTTAAAAGAAGGGGCTATGGTACCCTTATAGTATAGATCCCTTATAGTTCCTTTAAAAAAGACCTGAAATATCCCTGAAAAGCGCCCTTATAGGGAACACACGAAGTCCAAGGAGCCGAAGACTGGAGGTCTGCGATTCGCAGGTGATCCAAATACTTCCGGGCAGCCTTGGCTTCGTTTTGGGATTTTTTGACACTCACACTCGGACAAAGCCTGGCAAGGTCTATAGCGATCCTGGTCCTTCGTTTTGGGATTTAGGGTTTGGGGTTTTCGGGTTTTTTGACACTCACACTCGGACAAGCCTGGCAAGGTCTGCAGTTGTAGGTGCGACAAGCTCGTTTACTCCTGGGTTTAGAGTTTAAGATAGGATTCAGGGTTTCGGCGCTCGCACTCGGACACTCCAGGCCAGGCATGTGGTTCGGTTTGGGGTGTAGGGTTCTTGGGTTTAGAGTTTTGGCCCCCGGGTTTAGAGAGTTTGGGGTTTAGGGCTGACCAGGACCCCCATAAGGTACCCTTCATGAAGCCCTTAAGGTGCTCGATATTTGGGGCACAACGGAGGGTAGATACTTCAAGGCAGCCTCTGACATGACGATTAGGGCTCACAGGGTTTAGGGCTTGTGGAGTTTAGGCTTTAGGTGTTACCGTTTAGGATGTGTCTCTGTTGACTTCTTGACTTCTTGGTGCCTTTCATAAAGGCATCTGGGTGTTTCATCGGAGTTTGGTAAAGCATTTTACTCTAGAGTTTATTAACCCTAAACCCTGAACCCTAAACACCCTAAACCCTAAAATGTGTTTGATGTGTGTTTCAATGGTTCTCGGTTCCGCGGTATGGGCTTTCAGGGTTGAGGTTCTGGGGCCTCATGGAGTCCAAGGAGTTAAGGGTTTAGGTTTAGGATCCAGGTTTTTGTTTTTGAGGGTTGGGGGTTCCTATAGAGTAACTTCAGAGCCACTGTCTATACTAACTCCATATATATCTATATCTATCTCTGTGTATACATTTTTGTATATGTATGTGTGTATGTAGGCAGGTACATGCACCCGACGGTGCTTGAAGGATCACGGGGCTTCATGAGAGGGTTCTGAGTTCTACCTGGGATGCAAGAACCTCTTTAGGGTTGCTCCCGGCACTTCAAGAGCTGCTTCCCTGGCACATTACGCCCCATGGTATTTGCAATTCGCAGTGGGGTTTTGAGCCTTTAGGATTTCAAAGACGGAGTCGTGACAAGAGCATCAGAGCGTCTGCGGAGGGAGCGGCATTGTTTCTTCGCTGATGTTGACACCCCGAGATTCCCTGAACTACTGACTTCTCAAGGAAGAGTTCTGACAGAAAAGCTCTGGAAAGCCGCTTCAGACTGTTTCCTAACCCACAACCCGTTAATTCCTTTAAGCCTCAAGTCCCCAAATTGGAATCCTGAACATCCCTGCCCACCCACAAAACCCCATAGTTCCCATATGATAGACCCTATAGTAGTTCCTTTTGGGGGTTAATATTTAAAATCCTATAAGGTACTCCCACAAAGGAATTACCCGGGTAGGGATCTACCTTCCTGAGTATGAAACCCCTCATATCCCGAGACCCTGTTGTCCCGAAACCTCGAAAGCTGCCATAAAGCCGAACCCAGAGAGCCCAATACCCCTTAATTTCGGAATATGGCTTAATTTCTAAGGGGCTTCATAGCTATATTCCTTAATTAAAGGGTATTGGGCTCTCTGGGTAATTCATGAAAGACTACCTATAGTCTCCAGTGTAGTTCCTTGCCTTGATTAAGCCCGGTTGTAATGTCAGGATCCCGTAAGGTAACCCAAAAAGGGAACTACAATGGAGACCTAGGTAAGCCCTACACCCTAAACCCTAAGCCCTACACCCTATAAACCTCGGAGGCCCAAAATCGTCCTGACATCCGAGGCTCCCAAGCCACGAGCAGCACCGAGGCGCCCGCGCCCAGCGCTGCCGCGCCCAGGCGCCTTCGCCCGGGAGCGGCCGCTGCGCCACAACTGGGGCCGATGGTTTCCCTAAGAGCCCAATACCGCTTAATTAAGGAATGTAGCTTAAACCATAATTTGAAGCGCCTCATAATTTAAGCCATATTCCTTAATTAAAAGGAATGTAGCTTAAATCATAATATGAAGCGCCTCATAATGTAAGCCATATTCCTTAAATCATATTAGGGATCCGATTATAGTTTAAGGTATATATTCCTTAATTAAGGGGTAGTGGGATCTCTGGGTTCGGTATGAGGTTTTGGTTTTTTGGCAGCACAATCACCCTGAGCTCAAAGCCTGATAAGGTTTGGTTTTTCGCGTTGATAATTGGGAGTTTCCGAAAATAGGGGACCCTAATATAGTACCCTACATAGTAGGATCCTTATTATAAGGACCCCAAAATAGGGTACCCCTAATTTTCGGAAACTCCCAATTAGGGTTTTGGGGATATTGCCTGGGTTGACCCTCTGCCCTTGGGCAGAACGATTTCAAGGGCTGCCAACTTGCGGACTACGGTGCGAGCGGCCTTGATGGCGGTGGCAGTGATGATAGATAACTGATCCAGCTTATGTCGTTGTATCCTTGTACGCTTCCTCGGGCAGCTGCTGCAGCCAGCAGTGCTGTTCAGCTGTTATTCGCTTGAAGCTATGCTCTTGTATCTGCTTGCAACCGGTGTCGACCACAAACGTAGTTAAACCATACCCCTGAAGCTTTACTTTGTTTTGCCACCGTGTAAGCAGCTTTCGACAGACCGTGAAGCCTTGGGCTTGGGAGATGTAACCCAAAAGGGTCCAAAGTCGGGTTTCTATATTAGGAAAAACTACCAATTTCCCCATAGCCCTAAACCCTAGAACCCGTAAACCCTAACAATCCCTACCTTAACCCTGAAGAACCTACCTTTTTAAGGGATTATATAAGGAAATCATCACAAGGAAGCCTAAACAGGTAAGCTCTAGAGACTCTATGGGATGGGCATGCGACTTAGCCTTCTTTGGACACTCACACTCGGACAAAGCCAGGCAAGGCCTGCACAACGATAAGCGTTTGGGGTTTAGGGAGAAGGGTTAGGGCGACCTTCCAATATCCGTCAGTTAAGAATATATTCCTTGAACCATATTAGGGGTCCTACTATAACTTAAAATATACTCCCATTCAGGGTGCTTGGAAGTTGGAAGGTCCCTGGGGGCTTAGGGGTGTGGGGCTAGCCTATGCTTATACATACCTGCACCCTGAGGCATTACATATGTTGGACACTTTGTTTACTTGCCTTAGGAGATTTACTATAGAAGTCAGATTGCCCAAAGGCAAACACAATCATGAGGGCCTAGGTAGTTTCGGCAGATCTTACATATTACAAACGACTAGTTAGTTCGACTGCAGACCTGAGCCGTGCACGGCAGGAGTAGTGACATCCACCCTAGACCCTAGACCGCAATAAAGCTTGCGACACTGAACAGGAGCGTGCCTGCGCGTGCTACCCCGTGCCAGCGCACCATTCTGCCAAGTTGGAGAGGAAAACAGCGCAGGAAACGCACAGCAAGGCTGGCTGGAAAAAGTTTGGGGCTCCTTATATACTATAATTACAGTATAGTGGGCCCCAAAACCCTATTCTAGTTATTAAGGCGCCTATATTGTCAATAGCAGGGCGCGAGCACCCGGCTGGAAGCCCAAGACAAATAGCCCTGTCGGATCCAGGGGTATCATCGAGCTCTGCATCGCTTTCACATCCTCCCATGCATAGTGCTCTAACTCAAAGACTCCTACTTGTCGGGTATCATGGGGAACTAAAGGTTAACCTTTTTGGTAATATGGGGATTATATAGGGACTAGACTACCCAAAAAAGGTTAAAGGTTGCCTACTCTACTATGGACTGTACGTCCTAAGCCCCAAACCCTAGTATAATCAAACCCTACAAGCCCTCTTTGCTGACCTGCTTGAGGCCTTACCCCAATGGTCCAAAGGGCCCAATAATCAGATACTTAGGTTTAGGGTAGTAGTTATGTAGGTTAACATGTCGGTATGTGGTTATTAGGTACTTGGACCCTTATTGCTCTAGCTCTAAATCCTAGAGGCGCTAGAGCTCTGCCTGAGAGCTACAGAAACGAAGGGACCGTCAACTCTAGAGCTCTCGGCTAACCCTGGCTACCAGCACCCATCAACTTCCCTTTAATATACCCCAAATACCCACTATGAAGGGCTCTATTAAAGGGTACTTTGGGGGGGGGGGGGGGTTGCTGGTAAGCCTCTGAACACCAACTACCCGCTGTTAAACACAAGCACAATGAAGCCTCCATTGGAGAGCACGGGGAGTCACTGGAGATCCGGATTAAGGTATAACTAAAGCCAAGCTTCTTAACACAACTGTAACCTATAAGACGCATTGAACTCACTTCTTCATTGGGAGCACGCGAAGAAGCACCACGGCCTTGAGATGCCGCAGCAGGCGATGCCCCAGTGCAGTTGCTCTTGCCATGGCAATTCTACGAGTGGGGTTATCTGTTTAGGGTTGTGGGCGTGTCGATTTAAGCATTTCAGGGTTGGGGATTTGGGGCTAAGGGTGAGCAAGTTTATCGGCCTTTGAAGGGAACTTGCAGGGTCTCGCGCATTGCGACTAGGGCCTGCAGCTTCGCGAATCTTTGCGGCTTGGGTCTTTTTTGGATTTAAGTGCTGGCCGAAAGGCAATCGGGAATAAGGTTCTAGTAGGGGCCTAAGGTTAGGGTTTTCGGATTTAGGCTTCGGCTTTAAACACTAGTAGCAGCCGGTCTTTGTTCATTGTGTATCAACCTTGACATAGAATTCCGTTGGTTTTGAGCCATGAACCATTGCCGTCAAGAGGTCAGCTTCTACCATAAACCACATGCAAACAGTTCCTAAACGCCAAACACCCCCTCCAACCCCAAACACTTCCTTGTTAAGGACGACGGTATCAAGGAAGTCATAACAAGGAATACTAGACATGAAGTTTTTTCAAATTTCTGAGGTCGGGATGAAGCCCTCAGGCGACCTCAAGCAAACAGGCGATGTAATGCCACGAAGCGAATCCTGTTGTAGCTAACAGAAGTGTTGGAGAACTGCAATGGTCTTAGCATGCCGACATCTTCTGAACACAACCCAACTCCCGCAAAAGTTATGTGCGTGTGTCTATATATCGTACAGCGCTGAAAGCTCCATTCTTGCGGACTCTATGATCATGGAGGTAAAAATACTTTCGAGCCGGGTCAAGCCTAGTCGACTTGCACGACCCTAGACCCTAAACCGGTGGGTAATTCTATCTATCACGTCTATCGTTGCTGCAGTGGTTCCCTTTGAACTCTCCACGGGAAACACGACAAACTAGTCAACCACGGCGAGGATCAGGGGTAACTCGGCTTTAGGCAAGCTTTGGGCCAGAGCCGCTATGGGTAATCCTGATCGAATTTGCACCCTACTAGTACTTGGGATCCCATGATCCCCTGCAAACCTCGAACCCCTGGCTCGAGACCAGCTGCGTCACTGAATCTCAGACTCTGGACAGGAAGAGAACCCAAAGATACTTCACCATGACTTCTCCCTCGGATCCCTTACAGTAACTCTCTCAGGACCCCTTTAAATGACCCGCAGCCCCACAGGGAGCCAGGCCCACGGATCGGCCGAAGGGCGTGTGAGGCCTGGCAGCCAGCCCGTGTGGGCTTCAGGAACCATGTTCCCGAATATCTGTATGCGAGAGGTATGTATGTATGCATGGATGTATGTGTATATATATATATAATCTGTATATGTATAGATGTAGCCTTTATGTGCGATATAGATAAGCACGAAGGACTGGACATGAAGGAATACAAACAGAAGCACCTGTGCAAATATGTACATGTATATGTGTCCGGTCTAACGTTTTCCGCCATCCTAAGATCTCGCTGATGAAAGATTTGATAAGGGCTTAGGAAGGTGGAACACAGTGCGGCTGCCTAAAACTTCAAATCCTTTTGAGCAGGGGCTCCCCGCGCATCTACAGTTTACCAGACAATGTCCAGATAGTCTTGTCCAATTCTTGTGCAAGTAGTACCCATTAGATTGTCTGCGCATGACGTTCTAATCCCTGTTCATGCCATGTTCAGATCCGTGACAAAAGCCTCTAGATCCCTTCAAAATCCTCGTAAGCGTGGTCGACAAGCATCTGAAAGCAGCTCGGCTCATTTTAAACTCTGCCCTTTCGGAACGTTTGTTTGAACCCAGTCTCGAGGCAACAGCTGGGAGGACCCAATTCAGGCCTGGTGCGCCGATTTTCGAAACTACGTACCAGTAGCAATACATACTCTTTCCAGGTTGACTGAACCCACGACTGGACTTGATGCAGGTGCATTTCCAGAAAGGACGCTCGCACTGCGAAGTCGATCCCCCGCATGCGAACTCATCCGAACGATACTTGTGAATGGATTTTAACTCCCGACCCTACAACAAAGTTGGATCCTCCAAGAAAAGTCCTAGACCCCTGAAGCCCGAAAACCCTAAAGCCCCTAAATCCATACAACCTCAAAGCCCTGAAGCCCTGACATGGGAGTTTCCGAAAATAGGGGACCCTAATATAGTACCCTAGATAGTAGGGTCCTTATAAAAGGACCCCTAAATAAGGTACCCCTATTTTCGGAAACTCCGACATTATGTAGTGGCCCACGCAAAGGACACGACCTGCTTCGGACATAGTACGGCTGACCCAACTCCGCAGTGACCGGAGCGTGTGCCCTGGGGTTCGATGCTTGGAGGGCCAGGGGGCCAGGGGACTTAGTAAGTAGGTTATAAGTAAGGTTATAATTTGAGTAGCTCCATTTAGGGTACTTATGATCCTACATCTAACCTACTTACTAAGTCCCCTGGGCCTCCAAGTGTGTCTCATGGTTTCAGGCTTCAAGCTGCTAAAACATATTTGGGTAGTTGTCAAAATTATTGTCCTTTTTCGGGTACCCTAAATAGTAGGTGCCGTATTATAATAAGGACCCAAAAAGGGACCATAATTTTGACAACCACCCATTTAGGGGGTCAAGGGACTTTTGTCTTTGAACCCTCGTGTCTTTTAGCCGTACGCCTTCAGGCTACCGCTTTGGTTGAGGGATTGGGACACTGACTTATGCTATTCTGCGCCGGATCGTCTTCTACATACTCGCAAGACGCATAAGGGCAGTTTTTCTGCATATACTCACAAGGCGTAGGCCTATTGTAGGCTTTAGGGGTTGCATTGGCATACTCATCATAAGTTAGGCTTCAGGTACAGGGCGTTATAGACACACAAGATGCTTGGGCTACGCAGCTTGTGCTTATACCCCTACGTGTGAAACGTTCATGCGAAGCTTACCTTCAGGGCCCTATGGCGGCGAACGTATCTACTCATACGAGGCTTCCACATAACTTCGGGTTGATCCACGCAACCCTTAACCCCCAATCCGTGTAGTCATGAAAGGTTTTTTGACACTCACACTCGGACAAAGCCTGGCAAGGTCTGTAGCAATCCTGGTGTTTAGGTTGAGGGCTTCCATGTCTGCTGTCGGTTGCTATGTTCAAAGCCCTTGCATGCATTCTGGGGGAGGTCCAAACTACAGCGAACCAGAGAAAGTTGGAACATGTGAATAGAAGGGTTAATTCGTGCTAGGATCCCTTATACTTTACTTTAAGGGCATAATGGAGAATTGTCTTCGAACTTTTGGGCTTCCACTATAAGTGGTTACCCAGTAGGTCCGGCACTTGGGTTTAGGCGAGTGGTAGATGCACGGTTTAGGGTTTAGGGTTTTGGGTTTAGGTTGAGGGTTTTGGGGTTTTGAGTTTAGAGATTAGGGTGTCGGCTAGGATTGTGTCTCTAAACTACACAAATCCTAAACCCTACCTAGAACTCCTGATCATTTCCACAACCCTTCAAAGCCCAGATCCTACAACCAGCAAGGTCTAAACTCTGTAAATCCTAAACCCTAATCATTACAAAGTAGTATAATATACCCCCAGACCCCTGTCAGTGTTAAGGCCCCTATATTCTGGGGTTGAGGGTTTAGTCCTTACAGGGTTCATGGTAAGGCTTATAAATTAGGAGTTTCACTCGGGCAATCATAGGCGGGTAAACGGTCGACGCACCCGACAAGCGAACATGTGATATGCAACCCACCAATGTAGGAACCTGATTAAGAAACCCTTGGCTTATAGCCCAAAAACAGTGGGATTCACAAAAGGAACCCTAACAAAGGTTCAAGGTTTCTTGATCAGGTTCCTACATTCGAAGGAGCCCCAATGTCGGTATCTGCACGAGGATCCTGCGAGTAGGCAGGCCTAGTTCGGACGCTGGCGTATCATCCATGACTTCTCGTGACTGCTCGACTCGGTTCGCAGCAAAGTGTAGAGTTTAGGGCTTGGGCTTACTAGGGTTTGGCCCGTTTGGCGGTATGCCTTTATGTTTCGTTGGACTTCATGTGCGGCATGTGTTTTCTTGCTGGCGTTGATGTGTAAATCCGTGCGTGTGGCAATAGGGGCACTACCCATGGCATGCATGTCGGGATGGTGAAGCAACCGGCAACCGGGCCGCTAAACGATCTAACAGAGATGATTCCTAAGCACTAAACCCCATCCCAATTGAAGGCTCTAAACTTTGTCGCACAAAGCCTAACCTGAAACACCGACAAAGCAAAGATCCTAAACCGTAGATCCCAACATCCAAGGGTAAAAGGAGGGACCCTTAATAAGGACCCCTATAGGTAAAAAACCTGAATATAGCTATTATGTACCCATTATATAGCCCATTATAGGGTAGGGCTCCTTTTCCCCTAAACCCCCAAACCCCTAAACCCTATACCCTTATAGAATCCCTATAGATCCCTTTAAAGGGTCCCTCCTTTTCCCCTTTGACAACAGAAACCCTCTTCTTCTTCTGTCCGAGGGGCTGGGGGCTGGCAGACCGTGTTACGGTGCGCTGGCCCGTCTCTGCTACGCCGAAGATGCCTCGAGCTCGCTTTGATGGGTGTATATAGGGTTTTTAAGTTATACCCAGAGGCTCGAAAGTAGTCCCTTTTTGGGGTTCATATATAGAATCCTATAAGGTAATCCCAAAAAGGAACTACTATGGAGGCTCTGGGTAGGGCTTAAAGTTTTAGGGCACAACTCGGACAAAGGGTTTGTGTTTTGGGCAGGTTTAGGGCAAGAATTTTGCTCTCCTGCTTCGCAGGTTTAGGGATCAGGGCTCAGCTCTTCTTTGTAAGGTTCTGGTTGCCTCCTACGTCGCAGGTTTATGGTTTCGGGTTTCCGCTCTTCTTTGTAAGGTTCTTGTGTTTCTACTTCGCAGGTTTGTTTTGGGATTGGCTCTTCTTTGCAAGGTTGTTTGCAAGATTTTGGGTCTCCTACTTCACAGTCTAAGTGTACGGCTTAGGGAACTCTTGTTTGCGGGGTTTCATGGTTTTTCTTTAGGAAGTCTATACGAAAGATTTTCATGGGACTCATTCTGCAGGCCCAAAAGATGGATTGACC